AGAGAGAGAGAGAGAGAGAGAGAGAGAGAGAGAGAGAGAGAGAGAGAGAGAATGACAAGGATCAACAGAACAGCAGACAGCAAGTGCCAGAGGGGGTGTGATGTGGGAAGGGAATCCTCACTCACTCACTGATGATGGGTGTGGTGGTCTGAATGAGAATGAACCTCATAGGCTCATCTATTTGAATGTCTGGTTTCTAGTTAGTGGAGTTGTTTGGGAAGGATTAGGAGGTGTGGCCTTATTGGAAGAGCTGTCACTGAGATTAGATGTGAGTGATCAGTTACTGCTCCAGTTTCATGCCTATCTGCCTTTCACCATGCTTCCCACCATGATGATCATGAACTAACCCTCTGAAATTGCAGGTAAGCCCACAATAAAATGCTTTGTTTTATGTGCTGCCTTGGTCATGGTGTCTCTTTACAAGAGCAGAACAGTGACTAAGACAGTGTGACTGCAAACTGGTACAGCCACTGTGGGAGTCAATGTGGACAATTCTCAAAAAGCTGAAAACCTAGCATATGACCCAGCTATAACACTCCTTATTATATGCTCAAAAGACTAGACATCATACTCAACAGATACTTGCTCAGCCATGTTCATTGCTGCTCTACTCACAAGAGCTAGGAACTAGAAACAACTTTAGTGTCCCTCAGCTGAGTAATGGACAATGAAAATGTGGCAATACACACTATGGAATATTATTCAGCTATAAAAAAAATAACTAAATGAATTTTGCAGGTAAATTGATAGGACTAGAAAAGATCACATTGAGGTATCAGGCTAATCCAGAAAGACAAGAGCCCCATGTTCTCTCTCACTGGAAGCCCCTATCTCCCAGTCTTCATGTGTGAGTACATTAGCCTATAATAACTACAGAAACCAGAAGAATTAAAGGGAATCGTGGGGGGGGGCAACAAGAGGACAATAGCAGGGTACATGTCATCTGAAGGCAGAAGCTCTATTTAAGGAGGAGGGAGATAAATAACAAAGAACAGGAAGAATGTCTGAAAAGTAATAAGGAATCATATTAACTGTGTACATAAAAATACCTATAATACACATTAGTCCATGTTTAAATATACATAGCTTAAATGAAATCTTCCCATCTAAGTTGACAGTACTCCCCACAAAATCCATAGAACATCCAACAAAACCCCTAATACCAAGCATGAGAAGGAAGCTGTCTTCTGAGTTATCAGAGTTATCTAAGAGACTCCCAAAATATTGTAGGCTACTGTCCTTGGTTGTCCCCTAGAGATAGAAATTAAGTCCCTATGCCTGAAGACACCATGCACTTTAGACACAGGACCAGAAGCCCTGAGCTAGATCTCACTAGTCCTCCGAGGACTCATTTTCATGGTATCAGAAAGGGTCAAGTTAAGCTTCCAAAGGAAGGAAGCAACAAACAGTTCTACCCAGCAATGATGTCTATGAACCACAACAATTACCAGCATGGCATGACAGCCCTAATCATCCAGTGGAGGCACTCATACACTGATGGCCAGAAACAGCTCTCTCATTGGATGGGGAAATCATGCTTGGTACCAGAAACCTAACCAACTACCCAGGGCTAGTGTAGTTGGAGAACATGTAACTGCCACTTTAGTAAGCCAGCTTAATCTCTAACGATGTGCTAAATATTTACCCTTGCGTCCATAGATAAGTGTAGTCCTCTGCACTCATTAAGGAAACTTCTCTTTACGACCTGTAGAAGCCATTACAGAAAACCACAACTGATCAAAATGTGAGTTGTAGAGACCAGTTCCAAGGGATAGTGCTACAAAATAAGCACATAAGGCCCTGGGGCTTCTGTGAAAGAGGAGGTGAAAAGATTGATTGTGAGAGCCAGAATATTGGGAAGTTTGCTGTGAGAGGCTATACCCATGAAGTCTCACCAATGTATCTGCCTAAACACCACCTAACCAAAGATGACACCAAGGGACATGCTAATGTGAAGGCAGAGAAGCACAACCCCAGACAAAGAACTACAGGCAACTAAGGAAAGCTGACAGAGGAGAAAGTCTTCCCTAAGGAAGAACACACTAGTTAGTTATCCAATACCAGATGGTCAGCCCTGACCGCGCACACACACACACACACACACACACACACACACACACACACACACACATAAAAGAGACCTTGAATTTTAAAGATAGCAGTGGAAGTGTACATGGGAAGGTTTGTAGGAAAGAAAGGGATGGAGGAAATGTAATTATCTCAGAAAATATAAATTATTTTTAAATGATGGCATGCACTTTAATCATATCCATCTCTACCACCCACCTTCACCCCCAGTCTTTCTGTGAGCTTAAAAGTCTTATCATGTTGAGGGTCCACCCATCCTCCAGCCCTGTCACCTAAGAGACAAAATATGCCGTGGTCTCTGTGGATGTCTCTGGCTCCTGATACTAACAAAAGCCAAGATGATAGAGCTATACAGAGTTGGCCCCGCCACTCACTGGCTGTGCACCAGGGAGAACTGGTCCTGTCCCTCACCGGCTGAAGCACTCAGGAGAGAGGATCCTACACCTCTCCTGGGCAGCACAACAGAGCTGACCCTGTTTGCAGGGGCGTGGGCAAGACGGCCCTGAGGGCATGGAGTGGGAGAGCAGGCCATGCCCCTCTTGTGTCCCCGTGTGGTGACATAGATGAGGGAAAGATGCCCTCCTCCCCTCACCCCTCACCCCCAGCAGCAGGTGGAGGACCTGACCTAACCCCTCACCAGCTGCAAGACTCAGGAGAACAGGCCATGTGCCTCACCCGGGCAGTAAAGTAGAGCTGACCCTGTAGATGGGCGCAGGAGAGCCAGCCCTGAGAACGTGAAAAGGACGTAACTGGTACGGCCTCCCTCATCTACGGTGAGGTGGTGGAGGTGAGGTGAAGACGCCCTGCTCCGTGGCCTCTACCATCTCCAGATGGAAAGGGAGCCTCCCCCCTTGACGAGCTGCAACACACGGGAAGGCGAGCCTGCACCTCATCTGGGCAGCACAGCGGAGCTGACCCTGTTGAGAGCACAGGGGAGCCAACCTCTAGAATGTGACCCTGGGAGACCTGGCCCCACCCCTCATCTGACATATGGTGACATGGGTGAGGGAGAGAGGCGCCCTTCCCCCCACACCCGCCCATCAATGCCTGAGGCAAGTGGGAGAGCTGTCTCTGACCCCACCAGCCGCGACATTTGGGAGAGCCGACCCTGCACCTGACCGGGGCAGCACAGTAGCATCAACCCTTGGCGGAGGTGTGGGTGAGCCAGCTCCAACGCTGTGAGCACAGGACAGCTGTCCCCACTCTTTGTCTTTTCTGCTGTGGTCTGGATGGGGCAGAGATGTCCCCCCCTTATCTCTCACCTCTTATCACCTGCAACAGATGAGAGAGCTGACCCTTCCCTCCCCCTTACCAGCGACAGCACTCGGGAAAGCAGGCCCTGTTCCTCACCTCCGCAGCCCAGCAGAACTGGCCTGGTGGTCAGAGGTGAGGGTGACTCCACCCCAAAGTCATGAGCAAGGGAGAACTGACCACATTACTCATCTGACATGTGGCATCCTGGAAGAGAGATGCCCTCTCCACCCATCAACGCCTGAGACAGGTGGAGGAGCTGGCCCTGGGGTCATAAGAGCAGGGGGAGGGGGGTGTCTCTGCCCCTCACCAGCTGCAGCACTCGGGAGAGTGGCCTCTGTACCTCACCTGGGCAACACAATAGAGCGGACCCTGATGTGTGGGAGAGCCGCTCCTGAGGGTGTGAAAGCAGGAGGGCTGGCCCCGCCCCTCCCCTCGCTCATTGCTACCGGAGGTGAATTAGCCAGGGCAATGCTGGATCGCTCACCCTGGTGGTGAGGACAGGGGAGGGCTGGTGGGCAGACCAACCCTGCAGCTGCCCAGGCCCAGAACCAGGGTTATGACTTGTCCCGCCCCAACATCCACCCCCTCTATGATCTGCTGGAACACAGGAAGGGATTCGACCTGCAGACCCAAAGCTGCAGGATCTGCACAACACAAGAGGAGTCCCAGTGAGGGCCCAACATCAGTAGTGTGATAGAAACCAGAGTCCTCGAACCAGACCAATGACTCTTTGCGATAAACACTTGCAAGATATATGGACAAAGGAGTTTAATGCGTGACTCAGTGTCACACTGCAGCTTCCATGATGAGATTTTTATTTTTTTTTCCTTTTTCCTTTTCTCTCTTAAATTTTGTTTTATTTGGGAGGGAGGGGTGCAGGGGCGGAGGGTGGATTCAAAGGGACAGGGAAATGAAATGAATGGGATTAAGATACATGATTTAAAAGACAGAATAGAAAGTAAAAAAACAGTGAAAAGTCACTGAGGCAACCTACATGTCCACTCTCTAGCGAGTCGATCCCCACTTGCATAACTCAGGGGAAAGCAAAGACTTTGTCTTCATTGCCTGTGCTGCTCTTCATTAAAGTCCAGATGTCCTCCTTAAGGGCTGACTAGGAAAGATTTCACAGCCTGTCATGTGACTGAATGTTTGGTAGTGCTGGGAGATAGTGGAACCATGGGGAGGGAAGCAGTACCTTAGAAAGAATTGGGGCGCTAGGGGGAATGGAAGCTTCCAAAAGCCATGGAACCAGCTGCTTCCGACACATCTTTCCAAACTCCCAGCACCTCCCAGGACAATCCCTCGCCTGTTCTCTGAAAGCCTAAGGTAAAGCTTTAAGTGGCTTCTCTGTCACAGGCATGAGAGAAGTACCTAATGCAGTCCTTGGGGTCAGCGACAGGAACCATAATGGGCGGTATCTTAGTTCACTTGTAGTGTCGGCTGCACGAGTCTGGAAGCTTTCCCGTTCCTCTCAGGATTGTCATCTCTCTGGATGGCCCCTGGTGTTCACTTTATCTGTTGAGATACCAACTTTTGTCTTTCATTTTCTTAGTGTCGTCTGTTAGTTGAGGTGAGGGGTCATCGGTTTTCTTGAGCCTTTCAAATAACCACCGCTTTGGTTCTCTGCTGTTGCTCTAGTGCCCACTCAGTCCCAGTCAGATGCTTTTTCATCTGCTGCTTTGGGGTTTCAGCTGCTCTGCCTGTCTACAACTTTCAAGAGCATCATTAGTTTTCTGGGGTACATGGGATTTTAAGATGGAGGAATCTATGGCCATAAACTTCCCTCTTATACTTACTCTAATTTTTTTTAAGCATTGCATAGTGGTGCCATTTTCCATCAGTGAAAGTAGCAAACAGGAAGAGCTTGGAAACAGCCCCTATGATGAGGACATCCTTAGAGTTAACTACACCTTAATGACCCTGGCCCACCGCTCATTTTCAAAGGTTAAGTAAGCATCATGGCATGTACCAACCAATATCAGAGTAGCTGTGAAGATCTTGGACAAGGCCATCATCAAGGCCTCTGATATCACAGCTGAGATGGACATCAGGGAAGCTGCCCTAAACCCAAACATTGTGAAATTCTTCCAGATATTTGACAAACCAAGAGATTTGATCTTGGAATTTATGGCAAGGGGAGATATGGTCAACCTCATAGAGGTATGTGGATGCATGAGAGAGGAGAAGGTATGGCCCATTGTCCACCAGGTGGCATCTGCAGTTCAGTACCTCCATGAAAGAAACATTGCCCACTGTGACATAAATATTGTTCACTGAGACATAAAAGCCGAGAAATGTGTTCTTTGATGTTAACAGAAACAACAAACTCCAGACATCCTGGTGGCCATAAAAGTCACCACACCGCTGGCCAGATATCATTGGCACACTTTCTTCTTTTGCACCAGAAATGTCAGAGGACAGAGGCTATCACGAACTTTCCATAGTCACATGGAGCCTTGGCATTCTGATTTACACTATGGTCACTAGGTCCACACCATACAAGGCTTCAACCTCTTTAGATCTGCACCAGCTGGTCACAGCCACAAATATATCTGAGTCTACGAAACTGATCAAAAACCTTGGAAAACTTCATTTCATACCTATACATTTTAGATCCTGGGTCCAAGGGGGACCATCAAACATGAGACATCCATGACTGTTTCTCTGTGATGAAGCCTCATGATGAACCTCGAGAAAAACAGTCTGATGGGTACATCTATCAGCAAACATGGAAACTTGTGAAGATCCATTCAAACACAAGCCCTGCAGGTCCTTCTAAGCTCCCTTTCCTCATGAGGAGGGGAAGGGGTGAATCTGCTCTTCCTATCACTATCTCATCTAGAAAGAACCAACTGCAAGAGATGTAGAAAGGAGCAGGGGCTGTACAGGGTACAGCCTGCCTGATATCGTCAGCAGTGACCAGCCCGAGGTTGCACCCACAGACTCCAAAAACAACAGAAGGGGCTAGAAGTGGGTGTGGATGTATATTCTTCACTTGTTTCTGTTATATTGCTGTCTCCTTATCTAAAAGAAAAGCAGCACATATCCCATGGAAGAGGCTACAAAAAAAGAACCGAGTCCCACAGGAAATCTGGTAGACATGGCCACCAAGATTAATGCATTCTGCCATCGACAGACTGCATCTGTTTATAAAATACGAACCTTAATGTGTCCCACAGCATCCACCTTATCTCGGAAAGTTGAGCCAGAAACAGACAGCAGGTATAACCAGAGTCTGTGGAGGTGGGAGGGGGGTTTGGTCTGAGATAAATAGATTCAGAAGGACAAAATCAGAGGGAAATAAGTAGGGCTAGCTCAGGGCTGAGTAAGTCCTGTCTATGTTAGCAATCACTGATAGCATCCTTTTCATCTTCATTCAAGAATGAAGAACAGACCCAATTATCCCTTTGCTAAACACTGGAGCTAATTTCCACCTGGTACGGACTTAGAGCCACAGAAGGGACACAGGCTGTGTGCTCAAAATCCTGTGGACCATCAGACACCAACAAGAAACATGGCACAAACCCCTACACCCCCTCCCCTAACAGCAAGGGTTGAGCTAACAGCTCCACCCTCCTTCAGTTCACTGTGACCCAAGCATCACTTTCTAGAGAGAGACATGGTCTACATGGCTTCCACCTTATAAAGTACCAACCCTCCAGGTTCTACACGTATGACTGAATGCTCACACAGAACTGAGCTCAGGTTCTTTACCAGCTAGTCCCCACCTCCACACCAACAGTATCCCTGGTGAGCCTGGCAGAAGTACACAAACTGTATACCCAGGAGGAAGATGCGAAGCAAAGAGAAAAAAGGGGAGGGGGAAGTGGAACAAGGCAGAAGAGAGAAAGCGGGGATGGGGGAGGGCAGAAAGGCATGAAGCAAGGTGAAGCAGGAGCAAGAGAGTCCCAGAGGAAATTCTAGTCACCAAGATGAGGAAAAGGGGGTGAGCGCACTGGGCGGGCCAGGGGCCTTGAACTAGCAGGGCCAGGGCCATACTTCCTCTGCAGAGATTGCGGGGCATGGCCAGCCACAAGAGGAGAGAATCTTGTCCCAGTGGGGGGCCAGCTGGTACTAAAGGGCAAATATGGGATGCTGCCTTGGAAATCAGCTCCTGGAGAAAGCTGGAACAGCAAGGTGTGCCAGGCAGGGCAAAGGGAATCCCCATTCTCCTGTAGAGCACTGTCTCACCCTCCTTCTCCTGCCTGATCATAGCTTCAGCAGCTCTGCCATCTTCTGTGTTTGTCTCTACAGCCTCCTTACTCCAGCACCATTTAGGGGCACCTCCTCCCATCCTGAGCCTCCACAGAGGGATTCCTGGTGCTTCCGTTTGACCCAGCTGACAAGGTTATAGACAGGTAGAGCTCTGATGGCCATGGGGCTGACAGCCAGTAGGGGTTTTTTTTTGTTTGTTTGTTTTTGTTTTCATTTTTTTGGAAGGCCCCGCTGGGTGAGGAACGTGCAGTGTCCTGAGCAGCATGCAGTCAAGGAGCACCTCCTGGAATGAGCAGGGTGACACCTTGTGCTGACACCAAGGGGCTAATCTCTGGGGCTGCACAGCTGAGAACACATTGAGTTCACTGAGTACTGGCCCATGGTAGAAGACAAGTTTCTGATTGTATCAGCCTCCAAAACTGCCGGATGTCACTCCTTGTTGAAGATCAAAGGATGACTGAGAGACTAAAGAGGTGTGCCTTGGGAAAGGTCCTGGTGTCTATTGTCCCGCCATTGGGTGTCCACTCTGACCCTCTAAACCCAGAGTTGTTGAGCACCAGGTCATATTGAAGGAAGTGTCCAAGTAGCATGAAGGCTGAGCTGTCATGGGTAGTCACTGCATTTTGCATCAGAGTCTACAACTGTGACCACCAGATGAGTCTCCCCTGCCCCCATGAGAAACAGGGCCCAAGAACCAAGCAGCTTGCCTGTAAGGTGAGATGAGGTTTTAGGCCAGTAGGTGACTACTAAGTCAGGCCTCCAGTCTATAATGAAGCCAACAGCTGGGGAAGGTATGCATTTGCTGTTACTATGTCAGGGAGTTTTGCTGGGGAAAAAGTGAATCAGGCAAGTACTGAGTCTTTGAGATGCACAGAGGTGTGCACCAAAAGTCTGAGTGGTTTTTCTGTGGCATGACTACATCCATACTGTTCAGGACATGTTCCTTTGGCCTCTTACCCAAGAGAAGAGAAGTGGATGATGGACCCACAACGCCAGCCAGCTCATTCATATACTTGCCTGAACTGTTCCTTGATTTTCCAGGGGGAGAAGACACAGTCACAGGACCTACTATGTACCAGGCTTTTAGCATCCATCCTCTTTATGGATTCCACAGATGTCACCTCACATGGAGAACACACTGTGCACCTTAAGGGACCCTAAATAGTTGCTCTTGGCCACAAAAAGTTTCATTGGAGAATCTTGTAACTTTATAGGCAGTCTCTTGGTCCCAGCCATAATACCCTTAGTAACCAAAGGTCAATTCCAGAACTCTTGGGGCCATCTTTTCTTTCTTTGGTTCTCTTGAAGTATGTGTTTTCAGGGAGATATGTGAGTAAAGTAGGGTTCTGAAGGACATAAGACATGCCCATGATCAGGCATGTTGGTGAGGAGCTGTTTCTGGGTGTGTTTCCAGATCCTGCAGCCAGGACAGCAGCAGGGAAGTAAGCCTCGCTCAATTCTGCAGAGGTTTCCTAACTAGGCCCTGCTAGTATCTTCTCAGGGCTGGTCACAAGGGAAGGAGGCCCCAAACTCCAGCCAAAATGCATTCATTATTCTCTGGCAGGCCTTGGTTCTGGAGAACAGGAAACTTTATGCCAGTTATCCATTTCTCTAGAATGTTCTTCCTTTTTTCCTTATCCAGATAGACCATCTATGTCTCTTCCTCATTCAATCTGAAGGACTTCCTCTGCCCTGAAGGAGACAAAGCCGTGTTAGAATGGCATTGTTCATGCCTGCCCTGTTTAGAAAACACTGAGCCAAGAGTAAGTTCAAAGCCAAATGAAGCAGAGATGGGATCGTAAAAGAGTGGAGAAGATTTAAGAGTTAGTTCCTTCAGCAAGTAAGGAGGGCATGGACCTCAGTCAGATTACAGTGTCTTCTTTGAACACAGAAAACTTTGGGGTTTTATTCACAGAACCTCAACATTCATGGATGGGTGAGTTCATTGCTGAGCATGCTAAGTGATGTATTCACTACATTGCTGAACATCTCAGTTTAAGGTTATGGGGCACATGTTTAAAAGACTGAAGTGATGGCCAGAAACACCTGTGGGTATACTGAGTCATGTAGTTGTGATGCTTCAAATAGTAGGAGGGACTCTGAGAAGGTACAGTGATACAGGTACAGATTTTGTGACTGTCACTACCACAGCGGGCACCAGGGGAAAGCTGCTCCCTCTGGGGCACAAGGCTCACAGGGAGATGCTGGAGCACAGGCAGCTACTTCTAGAATTCACATCCAAAAACTGTTGGTGGGCTGTGCCCATATCACTCACTGAGAGCAAAATGTAGTTACCCGTGCCAGGAAGCCCCGAATGAAAGGGAACGCAACATACCAGCCAGTTGTGTCCCTCTGTCCCTGGTGCCTGGCCTCTGGAGCTCCTTTGGGAACGTGTGACAGTTGTATTTGCCCTTTACCCTCCAATTCCATTCTCCTGGGGAGTTTGTTCCTGCTTCTTCATAGCCCTCCCCCACCCTGGGGTCAAGTGGTCATGTTCCCAGTCCACAAGACACAAGGCTCACTGAGACCTCACCCTCTGTGAACTGCATGGCTGCAGTGTGGGGGCTCATGCTTCAGTTGCATTGACCTTTCTGCAGTTTTGGGGGGGCCTTATATTAGAACATTAGCTCCTGGAGGGTCTGCCAAAGAGGTCCCCGGAAATAGGACCTCTGAGTTTCTGCTCAGAGCCCAGAAACTGGGTGAAAAGACGATGGTGGTTGACTGATGGCCAAGTTATAAGCGGTGTGCTGGTGGCTCACTCCACCCCAAACCAAGATGCAGAGACGGTGGTAGCCCACGAAGCAGGGCCTATAAAAGAGCCATTGGTCAATGAGCTGGTGCAACTTCAACTTTCTTCAGGGACTTCCTAGACAGGGGGCACAAAACTGCTACTACTTCTCCTCTACTAACTAGTCAGCTTTGGGGCACCTGAACCCCTGTGCAGATTCTCGCATCTTATATGTCTACTTAGATTGAATTAATTGTAAAGTGTCCTTTCAAGAGAAGCACCTTCCTTCCTGGTAGTGTCCCCCTGAGAGAGGAACAGGGCAGGAATAATGGAAACTAAAGACCCGTGAATGCATATTGTTAGGCATCTGGCTTCATAAAGCTTAAACCATTAAACTCTGGTTGCTTAATATTCAACTGCATCTGAACTCTTCCATTTTAGGAGCATAGGAACCCAACTGGAGCCCTCCTGTACCCCCATTAAACTGTGGACTGTCTCACAAGCTCCAACTCTCATCTGGCCTCTAGGTGTTTGCAGATCTTGGAGGCAGGGCAGGATCTCTCCTCACGTGCTGCTCCTTGTGCTCGGATGTCAGTTGAGAAGTCACACCCTCTGAAGGCCCTGGCACTCTCCATGGTGGCATCAGTCTGCAAGACAGAAATCGAATCCTCTACAGTTGATACCCCAGCTCCTCGGCATTCTCTCAGTAGACCCCATCTCTTCAGTTTCTCCCCAAGAGCCCACAGTTGAGACTCTCCCTGGGATGCCCCATTTCCTACAGTGCAGGGTCTGATGGCTCACCCACTGAAAGGCAAAGAAGAACCCATGAGGGTGATGCAGACAAAGCTGTGGGGAGGTGGGGCTTTTATTTGGCTGAAGTTTCTTCTAGACTTGGTTTGGAGAATGGCCGTGGATGGACAGAGATGCTAAGGGGGATGGAGCGGTGGTGGATATTCTAGACTGAAATTTGGAAAAGACAGCTAAAACAGGGGATGTCTAGCAGCTCAGCGGTCATCCCAGGACCTCCTATAGAGGATAACTGACAGCAGGATCCGTGTTTATGCAGTATGAGGATACGGCTGGCCTTGAGCAAGCCAGAAGCCCTCATAGACCAGGACAGGAAGTCCAGGTGGGGAGGCACTGACACCCCCAGCCCCATCTGGAAGCCTATTGAGTACCTTGACTAGGCTGATGCAGTCAACAAAGCAGACAGTTCTGTTGAAGATACTGGGATGGACTGAGCTCTCTCCAGAATCACCCTAAGAAAAGAGAGGAGTTAGTACAGGGTCAGAAACACCAGGTGCCTGAGTCAGGGCCCACACAGCGACACTGGCTCAAATCTCAAGGGCAGTGAGGTTGAGCATCAAGCAGCTCCTGGGCCTGTTGACTGGCGTTAGAATGGAGAAGGCGGAACCTGGCTGGAGGAAGGAGGTCACTGGCCGTGTGTCTTTGGAGGCTGCATCTTGTCTCAGCTGCTTTCTGTTACAGGTCACTCTCTTTCCCACCCACCATCAGGCGCTGCCCCAGCACACTCTCCCCTCCAGGATGCTGAACATTCTGAAGCTGTGAGTTAAAACCAGCCCTTCGCCCCTTAGCAGTTTCCAGCTAGCATACTGTCTCTCGGGTCTGCATTCAGAACACTGTCATCAGAGGCCACCATGCATTCAAACCATGAGAGACAGGGCATGAATGCTTTCTTAGCAACTGTCTGACTAACCTACCACAGTCCTCAGGCAATCTCTCCCAGTCTCCATTCTTTGCTTCTACTCTATGTACAGCCTTGCTGAACCAAGCTCAGCACCTGCTCCATGGTGAGAGAGTTGTCCTTGCCAAGCACTGGCCATGCATCCCAAAGCCAGTGCACAGCACCACCTTTACGGCCACATTCTAGGAGGGAAATGTAACCGTGTCTCTCCACATTACTAGGAAACTGAGGCATAGAGAGATAGCCTAGTTTTTCAAAGCTCATTCAGCTACAACCAGAGCCAGGATGTGAACCAAGGAGCGATGTAAGTAACATCTGAGACATTAACCAGCAGCAGCACCCTTCACCCCCAGGCCCAAGGCACAATTCTAAGATCCCCATTTTACCTCCAGAGACATTGAGTGGTACACATAACAGGGTGGGAAGCTATGGAGGGGCACAAATTTCAGCTAGGTGACCAGTCCTATGCTTCAGTTTCCCCATGGTGAAATGGGGATACTAACCTTTCCCTTACATAAACATGAAGATTAAAAATAATACATCCTGCCATGTACCTAGACCATGACAAGTGCTCAGAAGTGCACAGTTAACACCATTCAAGATGAATCTGGGGGCAAGCAAATGAGGAAGCAAAGGTCTCTTCCCAGCTCCACCAGGACTGTCAACTTCACAGCAAGCTCTCCAAAACCTGACTATCCAAAACAAACAGCTGACCCACAGCCAGGGACATGTGCCAACAGTCACTAGCGTTCATTCTCTGCATACCATAATCCATTGTGCCGACAGGGAAAACTGCCGGGAGAGTGTTTCAAGCCCATTTGGCAAATGCAATTAATTGGTCAGCATTAAATTGTCTTTCCATAATTGCACATGCAGATGCCCAGGCAGGAGAAAGGGACAGAATGAAAAGGCCATTAATGTCACTTCCTTGCCAGTGATTAGCTGTGCTGGTGGGAGATGCGGAGCAGTCCAGACACTGCGGTGGAGACCTGACTGCCCATTCGCTCGCCACCCAGGCTGCAGAAGATCCTGGGAGGCAGCAATTCATCCGCATGGTGTTTCTGTGCTGCTGGCTACTTCTGAAGAGAGATGTCAGGTTCTGAGGCTGTGCCAGCTCCTCCAAGCCCTGAATCTTCAAGTTGCAGGTACATTTCCAGCCAAGGCTGTGAGCCAGGCCTGAGGTATTGATAGGACCCGCTCTTCAACAGGGAGAGTCTGGCTAGCCCAGGCTGAGTCTCACATGCTCCCGGAGGAGATCTTGGCAGCTGATGCTCACAAAATCCCTGCCTCTCTGATCCCAGCCTGAATCACCCAGCTGCAGCCGAGCCATGATTAACAGAACCAAGGGGCTAAACAAGCTTCCCTGAAAACTGCCCCTCTGGGGGTTCTCACAAGGCCCCGACCCTCCCTGAGGACCTATGAGCCTTGCTGGGGGAGGAGGCATTTCTCCAGTGCTGTAGCCAATGTTAAGGTGCTTATGCTCCTGTAAAGAACCCCTTATTCCTGTTCCTGTAAGCAACCATAGTGAAACTAACTGGCTCACATATGCGTGCGCACGCGCACACACGAAAAGTAGAATTACCTAGACTGAGACTCAGGGTATGACACCCACGTTGTAGAAGCACCTAGAGAACATGTGAGAGGTGGGTGCCTGGCACAGCTAACGGCTTTGCCAGACGATTTTGAGACACACAGTCCCAGGGATGGCCTTCCAGATGCAGTGTGACCTTCCTCCCGTGAGCCTGGAAACCTGCAGGTTTCCATGTGAAATGCATGCCGTGGGCACTGCTTGCCTAAAGACTCCAGCGCAGGAGTGGCTTCCTTGGCCGAGTGACATGAAGCCAGCCTAGCCCACGGTGGGTTTGCCCAGCCCAGAAAGTGTCTAAATATTTAAATAATTCACATCTAAGTAGCAGGAAACTTCCCAACAGAATCACCTTTAGTCTGAGAAGATGTAAACCTATGCTCCTATACAGCCCGGCAGAGGCGGCCCCTTCCAGCTTGCCTCAATTCCCATTTGCCATCAAATTACCCCATCTGGCATTTACATGGAGGAATTCTGATACAATAATAATAATAATAAACACCAGATAGTCACCTGAACAGATTGGAAAGGGATACAACAATAATAATAATAATAAACACTAGATAGTCACCTGAACAGATTGGAAAGGAGGAAATGGAATCCTTTCTCTTTGCAGATAATATGAGCGCAAGAGTAGGAAATCCTAATTGAAACTTCACATATATACACACATACGTGCACAACACTCCCAGAACTAACTAGAGTCCAGCAAGATGACAGGATATGAGATCTGCACACAAAGGTCAACTGCATCATTATCTATTAATAGCAAACAGATCTAGACTGAAATTTGAACATCATATTCAATTGCTTTTTTAAAAAAAAATGAAATACCTGGGAATAAATCTAGCAAAATATCCCAGGGCTTCTATGCTAGAAACTAAGCAACATGAGAGAAATCAAAGACTATCTTAAGAAGTGGAAAGGCATCCCATGTTCATGGATGGAAGGACACGTATGACACAGTACAGGTGTCCATTCTCCCCACCTGAATACACGGGTCTAAAGCAGTCTCGACCAAAACCCAGCAAGACACGGAGATGGTGTCTAAATATTTGCAGAAACGTGGTAAAGGAAAACAAGGGGACAAATCATGCCACCCACTTTTGAGACTTACTATAGAGACACAGTATCAAGACAGTGTGGCACAGATAGAGGGGCCCACACACAGAACAGTAGAACAGACAGACAGGTGTGGTAAACCCACAAACACACCCCCACAAGCAAGGGCAGGGATCCTTTTTTTCCAGTGCGCAGAAGCCTGTGGCCTCGTGCGCATCAGGCAAGTGCTCTACCACTGAGCCACACTCCAGCCCTGGCCACTGACTGACAAAGATACAGAGTTCACTGGAGGAAAGACGGTGCCTTCTGCAAGTACTTGGAAGCCTATAGACAAAAGGCAGAGGAAAGTTCTGAGAGAGAAGGGACCTTACTTTGGCCACAGCTCTGTGCTGAGCACCAGCTGTAGTAGGAAGAATTTAATAAGCACTCAAGAAACACATGCCAAGTGTGAAATGGTTATTTTAAATTTTTTAGACTATCTTTTTTTTTGGCACAATGAGCCACCCAGATCCCTGAATATCTAACATAGTTAACCTTAACCCAATCAGATGGGTGTTACTATCCTTCCAGCCGCTCACTGGCTCTATTAACCACATTCAGAGTAGGTGCCGTGCCCAGGAGTAGTTAGCTAACACAACACAACTCAATGGTACTTTTGTATACTTTTTGTCCCATAATGTTGTTTGGGCTTTTTGTTGTTGTCTTATTGGTCATTTGCTTGTATATTTTAGCTTCTGTTTTTTGTGTTTTTGTGTCTAGGGATGATCTCTGTGGTTTTGTTGTTTTGTTTTTGTTTGGTTGGTTGGTTTTTAAGGAGAAAGAGAAAAGGCTTGAAGTTGGGTGTGGGGAAGGCAGGGAGGATCTGGGAGAACTTGGGGGAGGAACAAGCATGATCATAATATACTGTATGAATTGTTTCAATTAAAAAATAAAAAATTAAGATAGCTCAATGGGTAGAGTACTTCAGTGTACAAACCTAAGGACCTGAGTTTGAATCCCCGCACCTCCATAAAAAGCTCAAAATCTTCAGATGTAAATGTGGTCCTCACCCTTCATCAAGGAAACTTCTCTTTGCAACAGACAGAGACCATCACAGAAAACCGCAGCCAATCAAAATGCAGAGTTGTGGAGCCCAGGCACAGTGGATACATCTACAATATAACTCCCACACCTAAGGCTCCGGGAACATTGTGTAAGACAGGGCGGAAAGGTTGTAAGGGTCAGAGGATCAGTTTACTGTGAGACAGTGTCTCCTAGGCAGTGTTAGGAGCTGCACCCGTGACGTCTCACCAGCATGGCTGCTCAAATGTGAGCTGAACAAGGACAACAGAGATGTTAATGTGGGGGGACAGGGGAGCGGCACTCAAGCCCTGTGGCCTCAGCCTACACAAAGAACTCCAGACAACTAAGGAATGCTGAGAAAGGGATCAATGACCTTCCTTCCCCAGGGAAGAGCAAGCCAACTGGCTGTCCAGTGTCAAATGGTCAGCCCTGGAAACATACACAAGTAGCACTGTGCAGACTGGGCACATTCGATTTAGGAGTGGGTGAGTGTGTGTGCGTGTGCGTGTGTGTGCATGCATGCGTGTGTATGCGTGTGTGTGTGTGTGTGTGTGTGTGTGTGTGTGTGTGTGTGTGACCATCTAACAATTATTAATGGGGAAAAAAGGCCATGAATTTGAAAGAGAGCAAGAAAGGGCATAAGGGAACCTCTGGAAGAAGAAAAGGAAAGGGAGGGATGATGTATGTATAATAATTATACGAAATCACTAAAATAAAACAAGCAGATAAAAGCTGGGTGCAGATACGGCTCCAGTGCAGAGACCGGGAGCTCAGGGGCCAGCCAGCTCGGCTGAGACAGTGAGCGTGTGGTTCGGTGAGAGGCCTTGTCTCAAGGAAATATAACA